CATCCATAAAGACACAAAAGAGGACTTGCAGCAAGTGGCAATAATGAGGTGATTTTGTTCAAAATGAGGGGGTATTTTGAGAGGATTAATCACTGTAAGAATTCTAGAATTAAGCATTTATCATATATTTTGATGATGTCTCATAGTTTTCTTTTTAAATCACGGGATTTTTAGGATGAGTTTAATGAGTACATTAGGAAGAAGGGCAGTGGAAACTGCAACAAAAAAGTAACTGGTAATTGTTATGTATAGACGTGATGTCTAAATTCTTTACTATTCTTATTATAAATAGTATCTAGGGCTTGTAGTTTACTGAAGGTCTCAAGGTTTTTCATCTAAAACAAAGGTTTGCATCTGGGCTGTGTGAAATTTCCTCCAATGTATTTTCTCTAAAACCTGAAGTGCTGAATCAAACACATGTTCATTATTACATGGGCCTTAAGTAATAGTTGGTGATAGAGAATTACTAATCAACAGAAATATAAGCAGGAGAAATTGAAGCATTTCTTCAGAATATAGCTAGCTTTTTTTCTGGAGGTGCTTTGTATTTCATTGACAAGAAAATTAATTATAATATGTATTTAAAGGATTAATTAAATCATTGAGTGAATCAATGTATCCCAAAAACTTTGGCTTTGGGAAAGTGAATTTTTGTACATCATACAGCAGAAGAATATCCCTATGATGTAAGATATTGCTAGCTCATTGACATTGTTATTTTATAGCAAATACTATAGATCATGGCATCATGCAGAGGTTGGTGACAACTGTTCTTGTTCTTATAGTGTAAACTTTCCTCACCATATTATTCCACAATGTTGTGATAATTTTAGAGACAATTTCTTTTTGACAAAAGAAGCTAGAATAAGAATTGTATAAAAAATTTGAATTTTTATATTGGCACTGAACTCCACCTAGAGGATTCCCTGTGAGGCATTTCATTATCCTGTAATTCAGTAATTTAAAATCTAAAATAAAAATAATATATGTTTTTCCAAATTTGAAAGATGCTAGAAGAAATGATTGTAAAATATTTTTAAAATCAATCCTGTAATGAATGAGCATTACTATTTATAAGATTGAGAGCAGCAGTAGCATAGAAAAGCACTCCTGATTTTACCTAAAACATAACTTTCAGTACTTCAGAAAACATTGCATGTATCTCATTGAATTATTTTCAAAAATAAATTAATATAAACTGATGTTTTGCTTAGGGAATTTCCCTTATTGTCGACAATTCAAAAGGGAGATAGTTTGATAAACTATATTCTTATTTATATAAACTATGAGAACAGTTAATAAACAGAAATGTTCAATATAAATGAATTAACATGTCAATTGTTTTCTCTAATATTGGAGAGGGGAATGGGAAGTTAGTTTTTACTGAATAGAGAAGGTTCAGTTGAAATGAGAAAGGTGAGGAATGAAGGGGATGTAAGCATTTCTCTTACACAAATCCCAAAAATTTCTAAAGTGAGCATTTTAATATAATTTCTCATAACCTAGAATATGGTTCCTTAATGTGCTGGTGTAATTTATCAGACATTCCATGATCTGTTGTTATTTGGATTACATGAAATTGACTTTTTCATGAATAGGAATAGAAAAAGTAAAATGTCTCTCAGACTGAGCTACGCACTTTGAGTTTCATAGTTTCTAGGTCCTCTGCCATACCACACCAGCCACTCCCTTCCTGTCTCCCAGAACCAATCAGAACACAGTTTCCTGTATACAATGTTCATGTGTAATAATTTTGTTTCTAGTAGAAACCTAGTGAGAAGGGAAAACAAATTCTTGAGAGGTGCAATTGTCAACTTTCCCATTGCTGGAACAAAATACTAGACACCCACTACATAGAGGTGGAGAATTTTGTTTTACCTTGAGATTTGAGATGATTCAGTCCATGGTTCACTGGACCCAACAAAAATGGTAATGCAGAAGTTATCTCAGAGGAGAGGCACTCACCTTGTGGCAGCCAGGAAACAGACGCAGAGAGGAGGTGCTGGGAGGAGAGTTTTTCTGCAGAGACCACCTCCAAGCCGGCCCCACCTGCCAGCAGGACAGTCAGCTACTGAACTCCCCAGGATGAATGCACTGATGAGGACAGCATGCATGAGCCAGTCAAGGTCTAAACATGAGGCTCGAGAGGCACAGTTTAGATCTAAACTACAAAAGGGTTTTTGACGTGGTCATAAAACTGTGAGTATGAGCCATTGGAAGTATGACCAAGGTGGCATTTAATACATACGTTGTGTGTGTGTGTGTGTGTGTGTGTGTGTGTGTCTTACCAAAGGTCACAGTTCTGCATGTTGAGTATCTCAGACATACCTAGAAATTTCATTGTTTTATGTAAAAACTTAGTATTTTAAATTATTGAATTATGCAAAGAGCTTGCAAGTTCATTTAACTTAAGATTTATTAGAGTTTTTTTTTTTTTTATTCTGTAGAACCAAATAGGAAAAACATCAGTCCAACTCTTCAACAGATCACTGGGTTCAGTTCCGGAAGGTGGCATCCAGGGAGAGGAGACAGCCCTGCTGATACAGGGCTTTATGTGAGTGTTGAACATCAGCCCAGCACTGTGACCCAGCCCCCTCAGAGAGCCCCATGTAATGGCCTGGGTCCTCACTACAGAAGGTGCTGCTGCCACCACTGAATCCTCCACAACCTGAGGTCTGCATCCTGAGCTTCTCAGGCAGTCTGTGAATGGCTGCCTTTACACAACCAGCTCTTGTGAGCATCTCCTACCACGTCACTGGTGTAGGATGAACCAGAGACACGGAAGTGTTTATTCTGTGACTTTTGATTCCCTTAGGAACTCATTTCTTTTCCAATCAACTTCTCAAAATGTTTCTTGATCAGAACACTTCTAAATATGGTGGCACTGCAGTGGATTTCTTCTTCAAAGCTAGCCTAACATGCTGAAGAAGTCACTTTCAGAGTAAAATATTCTCTGCTTTGCAGCTTGCAATAAGCATTGTTTTTCTTGGTGCTGCTGGTGGTCTGTTGTTTATTACTGGGGCTGCAGGTTCTTTCTGAGCTTACATTATGCTTACTGGGTCAGGTTCAGGAGGGAATTCCTTCAAATTCAAGTTACATATCTTGCAGTATCCTGAGGAAATAAAGGACAGAACAAGAAAAGAAATTGCCAACCAGTGTTCCTCATGAACCTACATGTAGTATCCCAAACAAAATACAGGCAAAACAAATTCAACAGCACATTAAAAGTAAGTTTTAGCATGACCACCTGGGAGTTACTCTTGGAAGGCAAATTTGGTTGAATGTATGCAAATCAATGTATGTGGTAAAATGGACTGACAGGGTGAAGGACAGATTTATAGACCATCTCAATAGACGCAGAAAATTAGTTGACAGAATTCAACAAACTTTCATGATTAAAATTCTCCACAAAAACAATCCAGTCATCATACACCCATAAATCCATATTCACACACCGTAGTTCCAGGGACCTTCAAAAAGCCCTATCTATGAAGCATGAGGCTTTGTGAGGACAAAGAGTTGCAACTCAAAGCACATATAAAGCACATATAATAGAGCAAGCCCATCCCTGGTATGTAAGAAAGACACATATCAATCTACTGGAGAAATACCCTCATCTCTTGTTCACTGGAGCTCTGTTGACATGGAAGCAACCTAGGTGTCCCTCATTAGATAAGGCCAAAAGAATTCAGCATATACACTATTGGAATCGAACTATATAGTCTTAAAATCAGGGAAGTCCTGGCACCTTATATAAATACACAATTGTCACCGATAACTAGATGAAGCTGGGGAAGAACAGATATAGACTCCTCTATGATGAAACATTGAAAGTAGCGGTATCTCAGGCATTAAAGGAGGGTGAGCCACACCCAGACCTTCACCAGAGCATGAGGTCTGGATGACAGGAGGTCCATCCTGCAAAACACTACTAGCTTCTGCCAGGAGCAATAAGTACAGAGACTCAGGGAGCCTGATCTGCCTGTTGTTTCAGGACTGGACTCAGGCTAAATGGGGACCAGTGCTGTGATGCTAGGGTTTTCCTAGTCAGGGCATCTGGAAAAACATCTAGGTAAATTTATGATTCAGTTATGAGCCACAAAATTTCCAATACTGTGCTTAATTTAAACACTAGGTTGCAGGATCTGCTCTTGGGTGTCAGAAAAATAAAAGTGTTTCCATTTGCAATCAATGCATTTGTATGCACTATTTGATGAGAAAAGTGTACCACACATGCAAGAATTACCTGTCACTCCCCAGGTAAATCCCAGGAGCAGCTATCTTTTCATCTGACTCCATGCTACAATGTGATAATATTTTTCTTTATGCACAAATTTCAGTAAATAAGGCATCAGGTTCATCTATTCATTCAGAACACAGGGAGAAAGCAAATCTTCCAAAATAAATTTTGGGGAAGTTCAGTTGTTTCATGTCCTACTTTTCACTGAGTGAATCAAAATGTTTTTTAGCAAATGCAACAAAGAGGCCTGTGAGGATCTCAATGTTGATTGCCCTATCTTGTTCTCAGGCCCGAGTTGTCCCTCAGCCTAATCTCCTTGTTACTGAGCCCAGCCTGAGTGGAAGAGCAAGTGCAAAGTGCACAGTGCAGAGAGCAGGTTCTTCTCACAGGACCACTCAGTACACTTCTCCAGGTTGGTCAGATCCAGAACCTGAGGTTCTCTCAACAGCACAGGCATCTATTAAGGTTGAACAGATAACTCATGCCTTGTTCATTATGGTGCTCATCTTTACTCTTAACTTCATATATCAAAAATATTTTCAAAACATTTTGTCAAAATAGACAAGACTTCCAGTGTTTCAGGAAAGGGATATAAAATATAAAAAGTACTGAGCAAGAAAATTGAGATATACATTTGTACTTCATCATAAAAAACATATACAGGGACACATACAGACAACAAAAATATGCAGTCAGCTAAAAATGCACAGTGCACAAGTGTAGGTCAAAATTTAAGAATATACATGATTAATGAATAAAACTACTTTGCAAAGATAGATGAGGTTTGGGTTTTGGTCAAGAAATTTTTCACTGAATGGTCAGGGAATCTCTTGAACATTCTTTGCAGAGCAGCACTGATCTTCCTGTTGCATAGACAGTAGAAGATGGGGTTCGCAAATGGGGGCACCGTGGTGTAGAACATGACAGTCAGCAGATTCTTAAGGGATGGTTTCTTTGCAATGGGACCTAAGACAGCCACTGACCCATAGATAAGAAACAAATGGAGAATGGTCAGCTGTGGGGTACAGGTGGACATGGCTTTATTACGGGATTCCACAGAACAGGTCTTAAGAACAGTTGAAAATATATTAACATATGACACTAACATAAAGGCAAAACACACTGAGACAATGCAAACGCTTAAAGCAAGAGGTACAAATTCAGAAAACTGGACATCTGAAGATGAAATCCTCAGAATTTGAGGAATTTCACAGAAATGTTGCTGGATCACATTGGTCTTGGTGAATGGAAGCCTGAACAGAGATCCTGTGTGGACAGCAGAGTAGACCAGACCAGAGGCCCAGGAGCCAACTGTGGCCTGGGAGCACAGACTCGGAGTGATGATAAGCCCATAGTGCAGTGGGTGGGAAATGGCTATGTAACAGTCATAGGACATGATCACCAGGAGGGCAATCTCCACCACTGCAAAAAGTGTATATAGGAAAATCTTTGCAGCACACTCTGTCAGGGATATGGTCTTACTGCCTGTCATGGCATTCACTATGGCCTTGGGAACAACAACTGAGATGCTGCCAAGGTCTAGGAGAGCCATGTTACATATAAAAAAGTACATGGGAGAGTGCAGACGTGTCTATCATGATGACAGTGACAGTCACAAGATTCCCTGTCAGTGCTCCCAGATAAATCACTAAGAATAGCACACCTTGCAGAACCTGGAGCTCCCGGGAGCTTGTGACATCCATGAGGAGGAATTCTGTGAAGATGGTGAGGTTGTCCATATCTGCCCACCTGCCGTGGTCTCTGCAGAGTCAGAGGTTACAGTGAGCAGAGGATGCTACAAGCAGGATGCTGAGCACCCATTAGACCTACAGTGTGTCTTCTAATCAGGAACTGAGGAGGCAAGAAGTGGATAAAATAAAGTATCTTGAAATCTAGTGAATGTAAATATTTCTGTTGTGATTTTTATTTCCCAAAACTGCTGCTATCTTTTAATTTCTATACTCATAGGATGAGAGAATTAAGCAATACAGTATTTAAAAAGAAATCAAGTTCCAGAAATCTTTCATTTTCTCAGTTCTTTCAAACTGGCTTTTTAAATTTTACCTGGACACCTCAAATATTTTTCTCATTTGCTTGAGTTTGGTGTGGCAATGCCAGACCCATTGTAGGAGAGCTTCTCTGTCAGCCACTGGGTTTGGAAATTCTTCACCTGCTCCTCATTCTCTAGGTCCAGGCCTGGAGAATGACTGTGATGTGGTTCTTCTGTGGCTGATGCTCTCCTCAGTTTCCCTAACAGATCTAATGCATGAACCCAAGCCTTATTTGACAATGACTTTGAACTAAAGGACACCAGGCTGGTCACACTGCACAATTCTCTCTTCAGATGCTCTTCAAGTCTAGTGTGTGAGCCCTTTTCCCCCTCTTTTCACTGTTATTTATGCAAGGAGTGATGTCATACTGGATGCCAAAGTTCTATTTTCCTGCTGGCAGTATATTTCCTATTTCATTCTGATATGTCCTTGTATGCATATTTTATTTAAAAAATTTGAAATACTCCTCCTAGATGCAACCTTCCACTGGATATGGATTCTAATATTTAATGAGGTGACAACTTTCTCTGCAGACCTCCCCTCTGCTTGATTTTAGAGCTTTACTAAAATCTCTTTTATCTAAATTTATTTTAACCTTAATTCATTTACCTCTGCTTGTTTTCAAGCATTCAAATAATAAAAAATTTGCTTACTAGTTTTGTTTTCAGTATTTAAATTTGTCTTACTGAGTGATTTTATCTTTGTTTTACTTTATTTTCATTGGTAAAAAGAGAACTGCATTATTATAATATTGAAAACATTTTCTTTGGCATTTGTAATATTTTGTAGATAACTACTTTGCCATGAAAAATTACCATTTTTCTGCCTTATATTTGTGTAATAATAATGACTTGCTTACAGGGGTACATTCATGTGGCTTTTGAGTGTTTTACAAAATATTTTATTGAAATTGTTTTCTCTGGTAATTCTTTGACTTACATGTGATTTCTTCTCTTAGCTGTATTTGCAATAAAAAAAAGTCCTTTGAGCACAGAATGTCACAATCTAAAGCAAATTAATTGATGAAGCTGCTACTGCTGACAGGGTGAGGATCACAGATACAAACCACACTATGGCGATTGGATTTCTTTCGTCAAAATGACAGATTGGGATCATCATCATCAATTAGTTTCATTCTCCTTCTCATCTTACTACATGTCCTTCCTCTCAGTGTAAACAAATTCTCGAGTTTCCCTGAGTTGAATTCACCTTACCTTTCCAGTCTGCACAGTGCACTTTGATCCTGATGTGTTGAAATTATTTGGCCACAACTTAAAAATGTGAACAGCAGTGTGAGTGAGGTAGTTCTTTCCCCATAAATTATTAAATGGGTGAAATATCAAATTTTATCCAAAGAAGAAGCATTATCATTTTAATACTGTATGACTTCAAGTTATCATCAAATTGAGCTTAATAGTGACCACAATAGACCTCACAACCTTTTTTCTTTTGCTAATTTAATGACTATGTTTAAACACTATGGCTTGATTTCCATGAAATCCTCCGGCAAATTTCATCTGCTTATAGATTTGTTAATTTCTTTATTACCCATCACAATCCACCTCAAGTCATTATTAAGTTAGCATGTCCTGGTGCTCTGCTCCATGGTAATTTCCAATCACTATAATTCCTATCTTCTGACTTGGGCCTTAAATGAAACAGAGCTCCTCCTGGACCATTTGAAAACCTAACCGCTAAAGACAAACTGTAGAATCTGGAATAATCTGTCTATTTCATAGTACACATACCTCAGATGTGGCTGAAATAGTTACATTAGCTTGAGACTTTGAAGTATACTTGTATGTCTTATATATAATTAATGTTAACAGAAATACAGAAATTAACATGTACAAAATTACCTGAGCAGTGGAGTAATGAGTCTAATCTCACTAATATGAATGTTGATTGTGTTCATTGTTAAGAGACTTAACGGGATCCTTGATCCTGCTTCTTTCTTCAGTAAGTAAATGCAAACTCACTTCTCAGTGAGACTCCCAGTGTGGACCATGCGTACAGCCCTGTTTCTGAAATACCCGTGAGGCTGCTGAGTCTTCACCAAGGACCCGTGTGGGTCACACTTCTGATGAGCTCTGGGGACCTGATGATCCCATGTTTCCTCCAGCCTCTAATTGGTGAGCATTCTTGGCCACACCATTGAGACTAATTACATTTCAAAGAGAGTTTTCAGAAGTAGTTTATTCATGTGACACTTAATAAAGAGGAAGCATTCGGATATGATTTGTATGTTGCTAGATATTCACTGAATTTTCCAGTTCACAACTTATTATAAAATTAATTTACTTACATTATAATAAATCCCTAAAATGTGGGCCTTGTAGACAGCATGCTGTGACTGGAAGAGAGATATCACTCTGTGGGTTGAAGTTTTCCAAAGAATCAATATATGATATTACAAAATTATGAATGAGTCATACAAAGGTCTAGAAAAATTAAAATCAGAGCATGATAAATTCATTCATAGGGCTTCAGTTGCTTTCATTCAATTATTCTTTAAGAAATCATAAGTTGTTTTGTATCATGGTGGAATAAATTATGAATATCAGGATTAAATGATTATATGATGAAACTCCTCTCCTTTCTAATTCTGTATCAATGGGATGGCAAACAAGCATCAGAGGAGAAACAGCATGGTGCACAGGCGGCAGCGAAGGTAACACAGGAGTTACCAGTGCCTGCTGCTGCTTTTATCTTATTCAGACTACTTAGGGGGGCAGCACTCACACCCTTAACCCCAGGGCCTTGGGCCCAGCATCGCATCAGGAATCAATTCCAGCTTCACACCCTCCAGATCCAGCCTGTGACCACAAGAGGCTTTGGGGGAAACCCTGACCCAGACCACAGCAGTGATGTACTGCACACACTGATGAATGAAAAGTAAAAACTAAGAGAGAGGCCGCCGGCCCCCGTAGGCTTCCCCTGTGCTGGGAAGAGCTCGGCCTGAAAACCTGAACAGAACGTGCGGCCAAGCGCAGGGGAAGGAGGCTGCGGCCACGGAGGCCGGCCACGTGACGTGTCGCCCCACTCCCGGGCACATGTCTCCCCTCCCACGGGGGTGGGCCGAATATGTCTTCTTGCGGCCCTAACTTTTATAAATTAACATGCTTATGTACAGGTACCTTCTCCCCACAGTGAGTACACTCGCTTTGTACTGCACACGTTCTAATAAAAATCTTAACAATCTACAGAAAGAGAAGTCTGCCGCTGTCCTATGTCGGTACTGGCAGAAGGTGATCACGGGTGTCAGTAGGAGCAGATCTAAACACACAGGGAGGAGGGAAGACTGGCTTCCTTGAAATCCAGTGCTGCAGACCAACAGTTTTGTCCAGGCTCCCGGCTGCTCCAAGCCACCAGATAAGCGCGCGCGTTCGAAGCCCTGTTCTGCGGATGCCCCGGGGCCTGGGATCTCAGGAGCACTGAGCCCTGCGCAGGCCTTCTCAGAGCAGGCACTGGGATGCAGAGCTAGGCAGCCTGCTCCTCTCAGGGCTGCAGAGGCCCGAGGGCGCAGAAGGTCAGGGGAGCAGATCCCAGGGCGCGGACCTCGGGGCTCGGCAGGCAGGTGTAGCGGCAGGTGAGCGCCTAGCAGGACACGTGTGAGCCACACACAGACGCGACGGGGTCGGGGAGCCCAGGATGCGCTCCGGGCTGGGCAGGAGGCCCGGTGCTTGCTTCTCCGCCCTGCTTCTGCTCCTGGCCTAGCTGGAGCGCGGAGATGGGGAAGCTCTCAGAGCCCTCAGGAGAACCCGCGGCCCGGGCCTGGCACAGGTTCGCCCCCGCCGCTCTGGGCCGAGAGCCCCTTCCTAGCTGCGATGCCCGCTCAGCTGGGGTGGGGAGAGGCGGTCAAGGAGGGGACGGGAGGAGGAGGTGAGGGCGCAGGACGCACCGCCCGCCGCCCTAAGCAAGGCTTCAAGCACCGCAGCCCTTGGGGCCGCACAGCCAGGGCCTGGGAGACCCGGGAGGGAAGGCGGCACCCAAGGCCGCACCTGGGACCCAGCCTCCCCCCCCCCCCCGCCCTGACCGCCTGGGGTTACCAGAGCACCCGCAGCAGCGCGTTGCCCATGGTGTCCGACCCCGCTCAGGCCCTGCCTCTGAGCAGGGCTGTGCCCCGCAGCCCCAAGCCCACCGGGGTCAGAGGCAGGGCCGGGACGCGCTGAGGGGAGGAATGGGCGAGAGAGCCAGAGCTCACATGCGCGAGCCCGCCCCGCATGGGGAAAAGCCGGCCTAGACAGGAGGGTGCTCGAACACTCCCGGGACTGCATGGCTGGCAGGTGGGGCACCCTGCTTCTCGGGGTTCAGAGGGCCGAGCTTCCTGGCACACTGTTCCTATCCAGATGCCCACAGAACCTCTTACAGGAAAAGACAGAACCAGCAATAACTTTCTGAGGCTGTGGCCCTGCAGTCAAAGCGCGCAGTGTCCTCCTCGGGAGGTTGGGCTTCCTGGCCTGGAGGGAAAGGAGAGGACGGCAGGAGGTCCGGGCCTCCG